CAAGTTCACCGTTTGGAAGCTCAGGTCTCAGGGCGTGTGGCCCCTCCAAATGCTGCACTGTCACCCGGTTCATTGGTGACATGCCCTCACTCACTCACCTGTCCTGATAGGTCACACTCTTGATCAAAGTCCACGTACTCGTCCTCCTTGCTGTACATTCCCAGGCCGAATACCCGGTTCATTGGTGACATGCCCTCACTCACTCACCTGCCCTGAGAGGTCACACTCTTGATCAAAGTCCACGTACTCGTCCTCCTTGCTGTACATTCCCAGGCCGAACTTGAGAGGCTTCCCGCTGGCGTCGAGTTGGAACTTCACTTTACACAGGCTGTCGAAGAGTTTGGACAGGTGGCGGCTCACCTGGGCGGAGGTGCGGGGGACAGGAGTTAGGCAACTGAGGGATGCATGTGACTCCGGTTTTCCTCGGGCAGTTTTAAGCATTTTTCCTTCCTTTTCTCTTTTGTGGAATACGCTCCCCAGCTTTGATCAGTGTTAACTGAACGTGGCTTAGCCAGCAAAAGGAACTGGTGAAAACCACTCAGGCCGGACACAGAAGCCAGGCCAGGAGTCCCCGCACTTCAGCGGCAAGTGTCTAAAGATTGCTCTTCCTTGAGAAGGCTCTGTCCCGGGTCCCATTCATACACTTGGACCCTCCATTGTGGGCCAGCCTTGCTCATCTCTTCTCGTGTATCCACGACTTAGGGTTAAGATAAAATATAACCCTTTCCCTCCACCCGGTTAGCTCGCTCTTCTCGCTTTCAGAAGAGCCTTTTCTTCCTGGCTCCTGGGGCCCCCTAATTCATTAGGACGATACAGAGGATGACCAGTGAGTGCATGTCTCTCAGGAACAGCATCTCGCTAAGCTCCTGATATCTAATGCATCTCCCAGTTGAGGAAACTGAGGCACAGAGAGGTAAATTAATTTGCCCAGAGCTACACCCAGTGCAGAGTGGGGTCTGAGGTGAGTCCTACCATCTTTGTTATGGCCAGGCAGTTTTTGACGGGTGGACCTCGTGGAGATGGTACAGGGACACCCCAGGGCACGCTTCCTCCATCCCAGGGCTGCCCAGAGGAGGGCCCTGCCTGGAGTCTTTTGAGTTGAGGACATGACGTTTGGCTCATCCTTCAGAATGCCAGGGCCCGCCTACCTCCACGGGGTCATTCCCATTGGAGAGAATGTCCAGCAGATCGGCCGAGGACACAAAGTAGAACCTTGGGAAAGCCAGTCTCTTTGTCTCTAGATACTCTGCCAGAGCTTTCTCGCACATGGCCAAGCTAGGAGGAGGGAAGGACAAGCAGCTGGCCGGTCCTACCCTACGGAGGGTGTGATCCAGCCCGTGCCAGCTGCGCACTGCACGGACAGTCCTGCAGGCGTCCAGTCGTCGTTCATAGACCCACTTTAATCAGAATTTCCACCCGGATGCTCTCATTTCTTTGCCAGCCCCTGACTTTGTGGGCTTTCCTGGGTAGGAGGGAGTACTGTTTAATCTCTGTGGTCACTGCTTCCCCTGGGGTCAGGGGAAGGGAACGTATTAACCCGTGACCCATGGTTTTGCACCGTCCTGACCAGTAGGTCCCAGAGGACTCCCCCCTGGTCTGGACGGGTGCGAGGACTCACCTCTTCTTCAGAGCCTCGAGTTTATCATAGAGACCCGGTTTGTTGGTGGCTTCCACCACGTTGGGTGTTTTCACCGCCTCTTCCATCAAGGCCTGGGAAGAGATGGGGATCAGGATCACCAAGGCATCAGGAGCCCCATGTTGTCCAGTGTAGCCACGTCTCAAAGTGCCCAGGGGTGAGCAGGCTGTCCTCACCTTGAATTCCTGGTTGATGGAGTCAAAGCGCTTGGAGTCCTCCGGGAGCTGGGCTCGAATGTCTTCAGAACCAATGAAGATGCTCTCCAGGTGGCTCCAGGTTCTCTGGACCTCAAACCAGATGGAGATGACCGAGTCTGCCATGGACAGCTTCTGCTGCCAGCTTGTCACCTCCTTCAGGAAGTGGGACAGGTACTTGGACATCATCAGGTTCTGCAGCTGCACCTGGTTGTCCTCCAGCGTCTCCACCAGCACCTCGTCCGACTTGAGCATCATGGTGCCCGTGCGCAGGTGCCGCTCGTGCTCAAACTCCATCGTGGTCCAGGTGCTATCCAGGGTTTTCAGCACCTTTCAGGGAAACACAGAAATGAGGTCGCTGAGCGTGCGGGTTGCAGAGCTGAGAAAGGACCCAGAGTTCCTAGAATATGGAAGGAAGCCCTGTTTTAAGAAAACCAAAATATTTACACCAACATTATTCACAGCAGCCAAAAGATGGGCGCTACCATGCAGATGAAACTTGAAAACATTAGGCAAGACACAAAATGCCACATATTCCATGTGAAGGAGTTAAGTGTACGCCACCTCAATATATGCCTCCCTGGCACGTTGATGGTTTTGAGTTAAAGGCACTTGAAAAATAGCAGGTGCAAGAAGATCATGCTGCCCTTCCTTCTGCTTCTTTCTTTCTTTTTTCTTTTTGGCAGCTGGCCAGTACAGGGATCTGAACCCTTGACCTTGGTGTTACCAGCACCAGTCTCTACCGAGTGAGCTAACTTGCCAGGCCTGCTTTTGTCTCTTGATCTGTCTTTTGTCAATTTAATTCTCAGGCCCTAAAAGGGTAGAGGTAAATTTTTGCCTCCCCTACATGGTTCCATTCATATGGAAGTCTGGAATAGGGAAATCTGTAGAGACAGAAAGTGAATTAGTGGTTGCTTAGAGCTGGGGAGGAGGGTGCGAGTGGATGGGGGGATAGGTTTTTTTGGGGGGGGGTGACAAAAATGTTCTAAAATTGGCTAATTCTAATACGTGATGATGGCATGTGTCTGTGAATATGCTAAAAGCCATTGAATTGTACACTTTAAACAGCTGGATTGTATGGTTTGTGAATTACAGCTCAATAAAGCTGTAAATAAAAAAAAAAAAAAACCTCAAAATGTGACAATTGAAACTCACAAAACAGTTGGGCTGAGGAGAGACATTTGAATTGCACATGAGCCTTCCAGAGGTCTCCTGTGCACTGGAGGTACCCAGAGCTCGTGACTCATTAGCAACACCAGGTATCAGCTGGGGGTCAGCCCCTCCCTCCCATCCCCCCCTTCAGCTCTCCAATGTCAGCGAAAGAGTCACACTGGACCCCAAAATGAGGAAGCTTGATGTAAAGGAGATGAGACTTCAGGTTATTTTAAAACGTAGACACGATTGCATGCAGGGAGATAGAGCTATAGCCAGGTATTGGATTTTTAAAAAAATAATAAATTCTAGAAGTACGTTACAAAATTTCTGCCACAGGTTGGGTAAGAGAAGGCCCACTAGACTGTCTTGTAGTGTTCAATGGCCTTTGGAGCCCACGTGGAATGACAGGTGCTGTGAGCTGGGGGACAGTTGCAGGGTCAGCCCACGCACAGCAAACTCCCCTGCCGACTGAGGCTACCTTCTCCATCCCGGACTCTTTCACAGCCTTGTCCACAATATTGCGGACCTCGTCCTCGTAATCGTGGAGGTTCAGCTGGAGCAAATCCGCCAGGGTGGTGTCATCTGACATCACAAATTTCACCTAGGGAAAAAGAAATAGGCACATTCCGTGTAAGGCTATGTGGACTGCAGTGGCTGGAGGGTGTCATTCCTCCCGGAGAGGCAGGGCCAGCAGCGAGTGACCTCCGGCTGCTGGAGGGAGCAGGCCGGAGCTTTGCTGTGCCATCGACCGGCTCCTCTGCCACTCACCTCGCCTTCCTTCTCTGTAAGGCTGTGTAATAGCAGACCCTACCCGAAGTGGGGGTGGAAAGTGTCCCCCCAGAATTCATGGCCTCCTAGACCTCAGAATGTGTCCTTGTTTGGAAATAGGGTCTTTGCAGATGTTAAGCATTTTGAGATGCATCCATCCTGGATTTTCCAGGTGGGACCTAAATTCAATGACAGGTGTTTTTATAAGGGAAAGGAGAGGATGATTTGAAATACAGAAGAAGGCTGTGAGAACACAGAGGCAGGGACTGGAGGGATGTGGCCACAAGCTTAGGAAAACCTGGAGCAGCAAGGGGCTGGAAGAGGCAGGAAGCCTTCAGAGGGAGTGTTGCCCTGACGACGCTTTGATCTCTGACTTCTGCCCTCCAGAACTGTGAGATAATATAATTCTGTTGTTTTAAGCTGTCCAGTTTGTAGTATTTTGTTACAGCAGCCCCAGGAAATTAACCCACCACCTCTAATTAACTTAGAATCTCAAGATGATGACAACCAAGCATGAGGCCCCTCTGAGCTTGGATCCTGGTGTCGCTCATGCACAAAGCCGGCCCTGCTCACATCAGGGTTTATCAGCATCAGGCCCTGAGCACCTCGGCTAAGCGGCTCGGGCCAGCCCATCCTGCATTAGGGCCGGTGAGGGCAGGACCCTCCCCCCCCAGGGCCAGCTGTACCTGGGTGGCCTGCATGAGCTGCTGCCAGTGGCGGGCCCGGATGGCTGGATTCTGCAGCTCGCTCACGGCGCGCAGGGACGTGATCATGTTTTTCACAGTGTTGTCGAGCCCCACAAAAGCATCCCAGGTCTTCATCTCCTTATCCAAAGACCTCACGTCTTTGGCAAACTTCTTACAATCTATGTCCATCTGCTCCACATTGATGTCTTTCCACTTGGTGGTCTTCCAGTCATCGATGCTGGTGTTTACCTGACACGGAAACGTCCCATTCCACCTTCCACTCTGGGCAGGGAGGGTTCAGGAAGACAACTCTATCTCACTGCACTTGCTCTTAGGGAGCAAAATCCAGTGAGGAATAGTTGGAACTAACAGCAGAGTTCAGTAAAGTGGTTGGATAGAAAAAAAAAATCAACAGCGTATCAAAAACAGGTACAATATAAAAGTTAGCTGTTAAAAGATAATTTGGCAAAAACCTGTTGCTGGGGAGTTGCTATTGCTCACCAGGATCCAATTCTCTCTTACTTCTTGCTGTGACCACATAACTTGCTGTGGCCAGGAAATGTGAGTGATGCCTGACACTTCTGTCAAGAAGCATTTAATTGCCAATACTTGGCTCTTTGCCTGCCTTGGCAATCAGGGAAGTGTATTATTGATAGGCAGCCTGGAATGTTGCGATGACCGACCCTTGGCAGACAGCTGCCCGAGGAACAGATGCTTGGAACAAGAGTGTTCCTGGGACTTTGCATGGATGAGAAATAAATACGCTTTTGTTGTTCAATACACAGAGGTTTGTAGAACTGTTTGTTACTGCACAGCAGCCTAGCTTATACTGACTGATGAAGATACGATAGAGGAAACTTCATTCACAACAATATGAAACAAAACACAGAAACAAGCTCGGGATAACCCTACCGAGAGTGGAAAGACGATGCAGTTTGCATTCTTAAATTTGGGGTGGGTTGAAAATGGCTGTGAAGCTGGAAACTGCTAGTTGTTGATGGAATCAGAGACTATTGACACAGGTGCTTGAAGCGGAAAGGCCTAGGCTTGCCCAGCATCTGTGTTCAGTCAAGACAAAACTGGGAAGGTTTATAACATGTTTACCTTGAAGATACTAAGACTCGAAATCTTAATTCACATAAGAACCAGTGGCCCTTTCTTTCAGGTACAAGCTATTCTGTATCCTGTTATCATAAAATGTCCTGGCTGGTTTGTTTTGGAGAATTTTTCTTGAACTTTCCTGACGTAAATGCTTATCACCATCTCCTGGGAAATGTAATCCTTATTTTCTAGGCTGTGCCAACAGTTTTATTACGGGAAAGCACAGTATCCTCTTCTCTCTGACTGCACCAGCTATGTCCTGTAATGCCACTCATATAAAACAGCCTTGAAGTCAGTCAATTGTGAAAAAGCACCAAGAGGCTTCCATGTGCACCCTGCCTTCAGGCTTGGTGGCAATAAACCTGTGACTCCAAATCCAAAGATTTTTTTCCTCCTATGTAAGAAATACGTAGACTCAGTATAATCAGAATGAAGACCTTTACAATATTTTACTATGATGTATTTAAAAAATAATAAGATAAATGGAGAGACAGAGCATACTTTTGCACACGAACATAAATACTGCCAAGAGGTTAATGACCTCCAAATGAGTTCATAGAGTTGATTCAATTCCATTTAAAGCCATAATAGCTTTCTTTTGGAGTGGAGGAAGATTTGACAAATGATTTTAAAGTTCATTCAAAGGAATAAGAGAGGAGGAGAGATTAAATATTTTTGAAAACAGATGAGCAAAGAGGGGAGAGAATGGCAGGAATCAACACGTGCACACACGCATAGAAGAAACTCTTAGGAGGAAGACCCTTGGGCTTGGAGCCCACCTCTCTTTACCTGCTAAGTCTTGACCCATCTTTACCTTTCCGCCACCCACAGGCCACAGAGCAGCACAGTGGAGACCCAGTCCGGACCTGGTCTCACTCAGTGAGTTCCCAGCCTCCTGAATCGGCTCTTCTTCTGCCTAAATATTTCCCCTCCACCAAGATAGACCATGTCCTGATCCATAAAATAAACCTCAATCAATTTAAAATAGTTGAAGTCCTATAGAGTGTGTTCTCTGACCATATGGAATCAAACTAGAAATCAATAAAAGAAAGGAAACAGGAAAATCTCTATACATTTGGAAATTAAAACACACTCTAAATAATCCATGGGTCAAAGAGCGAGCCTCAAAATAAATAAAAAACACATAGAACTGAATGTCAAAATATCAAAATAATATCAAAATAGGTGGGACACAGTGAAAGCAGGGAGGGAAATTTTGTAGCACTAAATGCTCACATTAGAAAAGAGGCGAGGCTGGGCCAACCCCGTGGCTCACTCGAGAGTGCGGCGATGGGAGCGCAGTGGCGCTCCTGCTGTGGGTTTGGATCCTATATAGGGATGGCTGGTGCGCTCATTGGCTGAGCATGGTGCAGGCGACACCAAGCCAAGGGTTGTGATCCCCTTACTGGTCACAAAAAAAAGAAAAAAAAAAAAAAAGAAAAAAGGTGAGGTATCAAATCAATGATCTGAGTTCCTACCTCGACAAACTAGAAAAAGAACAAAATAAACCCGAAACAAATTGGAAGGAACAAAATAATAATATCAGAAAGCAATGGAACTGACAATAAGAAACAATACAAAAAACACAACTAAACAAAAAGCTGGTTCTTTGAAAAATGAATAAACTTTATTAACCTCTATTGCAAGTGTCAAAGATAAAAAGAGAGAAGACGTACATTACCAAAATATCAGGTACGAAGTGGGAGACACCACTACAGTTTGCAGCCATTCAATTTTCACAAAATTGAAACAGATAACTGGAACAGCCCAATAGCCAGTAAAGACATTTAATTTGTAACTAAAAATCTCTCCCCCCGCCCCTGCCACCCCCCAGAAAAATCTCTAGGCCCAGGTGGTTTCACTAAAAATTTTACCAAATATTTTTCTAAAAATTAACACCAATTTTACACAATCTCTTCAAGAAAATAAAAGAGAAGGGAACACTTTTCAACCCACGAGTTCAGTACTACCTGGGTACCAAAACCAGACAAAGATATCACAAGAAAACAAAACTAGGGGCCAGTATCTCTCATGAACTTAGATGCAAAAATTCCCAACAAAATATTAGCAAACTGAATCCAGCAATCTGTAAGAAGCATTACACACCATGATCAAGTTTATGCCCATGTTCAAAAATCAATGTAATCCACTATATTAGCATACAATCACATCCATTGACACAGAAAAGACAAAATCTAACACCCACTCATGATAAACAGTCTCAAAAAAAAAAATAAAGAAAGAAAAAAGGAACAGAGAAGAACTTCTCCAGCTTATAAATTTACAGCTAATATCACTCCCTCTGAGAATGGGAATGATGCTACAGACTGGGAAAAATTATTTGCAGACCACATATCTGGCCAAGGACTAGTTTCTAGAATATATAAAGAACTCTCAAAACTCAACAGTAAAAAACAAAAAGAATCCAATTAGAAAATGGGCAAAAGACATGAACAGACAGTTTTCCATCTGTGAGCCAGAAAGTGGTCCTCATCAGACACCGGATCTGCCTTGGTCTGGGACTTCCCAGCCCCCAGAACTGTGAGAGAATAAATTCCTGCTGTGTATGAGCCACCCGGTTGATGGTATTTTCTTATAGCAACCCAAACAGATTAAGACAAGTGATATTGTTTATTTAAAAATTCTTTAGAGAGGTGAGATGTGAAAGACAGTGAGAGAAGGGAGGAAAGGGGGGCGTAGAAGGTGAGACAATGTTGTGGACAGAGAGAAAAGCAAACGGGTGCTCTAGTAGAGGGTCCCATGCCAGGGTCCTCTGGGTGCCTCCACCCAGGACCTGCAGTTGTCCCCGTACCCAGGGTACCCCAAGCAGCCCCTCCTCCTGGTGATGCCGGGTGCCCCAAACGCAGTTGGCTGGGGCGTAGAAGGTGAGACAACGTTGTGGACAGAGAGAAAAGCAAACCGGTGCTCTAGTAGAGGGTCCCATGCCAGGGTCCTCTGGGTGCCTCCACCCAGGACCTGCAGTTGTCCCCGCACCCAGGGTACCCCAAGCAGCCCCTCCTCCTGGTGATGCCGGGTGCCCCAAACGCAGTTGGCCATGCTCACCATGATGATCATGTCCCAGAGCTCCTTCAGCAGGCGCACCTCCCTGTGGCAGGCTTTGAGCTGCTTGTAGTCCGGGACCATGACCTCAAACAGGCTCCCAGACTTGGACAGCGCTTCCATGATGCCCTCCATGGTGGCAATGCTCTTTTGTTGCTGGGGGTGGCGAGGGGGTCATCAGCGGGGTTGCCTGGCCCCAGAGGCGCCCCCACTTGGCTCCTGAGAAACCTTCTCGAGGCATCCCCAACCTGTCCTCCTGTCCTCTAGCCACCTCGGGGCAGGAGGCCAGCCTCCAGCTTAGAGGCCGGCCACTGCCCTTCCACCCCCAGCGCCCCCTCCCTCTGGAGCACTACAGGAAGGTGCTTCATCGCCATGCACTTGGGCCTGGGGACTGACTTTGAATGGACACTGTACAAATGCCTCCTTTCCTCCTGGGGCTTATTTCCTGACTTCCCAGCATTTCCCCAATTTTCATACTATGTTTTTATCATATTAAGAATTACATAAGTAATAATTGATTGCTTTGAAAGTGAAAAAAATCTAGATAAGCAATAGGTCATCCTCAATCCCAGGACTAAGAGTCAACTGTTAGTAACATTTTGGTGTTGAATATATATATATGCACACACACATGTGCGTTTGCACACATGCAAAGGTGTGCACCCTGACTTCTCACAGTCTTTCTCACGCACAGGTGTGCAGGGACTGGATGTGCTGCTATGACCTGGAGCTCCACAGCCTCACCTGGCTGGCCACAGGTACCCCCCTGACCCCAGCTCTCTCCAGAGAATCCAGCCTGGAGCCTGTGGATTGAGTGCTTGGGGGTTCCCAGGAGAGAATGGTCCCATCTACATCATGGCTTGGGAAATGTGACATGCGAAAATGGCCACGAGGAAGGGGAAGATCGTGGCTTTCTAGAATGGTGGGCTTCGGAGCCAAGCAAGCAAAAGACCAGGCACTTGAGGGAGGGGATGTGTGAGGTCACCCTAAGGACATCATGGGGTCCACGTGAGTGTCGCCATGTGAGTGAAAGGTGCAGACTGGGCCTGGCTTCTTCGCAGGTGCTGGGCACTATGGCACTGGGGGGGGTCCCCACCACGCACCCCACACGCTCCTGCCCCAGAAGAATCCATGGGGCTGTGCTGGAGGTGTTGCCAGGTCCGGGGCAACTTGCACATTGGAGGCTGACCATGGACTTGGACAGTGGGGACAGATTGGGGATACATGTGAAACTCGGCTGCCTGCAGGATGTAGTGGGCCAGGGAGAGGAAGGAGTCTGGGATGGCAGCTGAATATAAAGCCCAGGTGCCAGGAAGCTGCTGAATGTGGACAGAGGTGGGGACATGGGGGGTGGAGCCAGGTGGAGGGATGGGGGGGTCTGTGAGGTTCGCAGAATGAGCAGATGGGGAGACCCTGTACCTGGGGAGATGCCCGAGTTAGCACATTCACGTGCATGCACACACACGAATAAACAGGCACGCACATATATGCACAGATAGAAATACCTTATTCAGGGACTTGTAGGGGTCGGGGTCGCTGAAGGCAAACGGCGCCTCTTGTCTGAACTTCTCCCTGAATTCATGCTGCTTGAGCTGTGAGGGAACAGTGGCAGAGCCACAGTTGGATCGTGGGATGTCCCCGTCCACAGCCCGGGTCACGTGGTGGGTGCTGCGGCCCCCACGCTGCACCCCCAGTGAGGCCCTCTCTGTCCTGCCCTACGCGGGGTGCACACCTCGAATTGCTGGCACTTCCGCCGCAGGATGTTGACCTCGTTGGCCTGGAGGGGAGCCGCGTTCTGCTTCACCTGCATGGCCAGCTTCTTGGTGTTCGTCCATTGCTCCGGCAGCTCCTGAAGGAGGCAAAGGCCGGGGAGGTCTCCTTTTCCTTTTCTTTTAAAAATTTTCTATTATGAAATCATTACAGACTCGTGGGAAGCTGCAAAAATAGTGCAGAGTATCCTGCGTACCCTCCACCCAGTGTCCCACCACAGAGAGCCAGGATGTTGATGGGGGTCATTCTGTTATCCAGACGCCAGCGCTTACCTGCTTTTCATCATGAGTCCACTTGCGCATGTGCGTGTGCGTGGTCCTACACACCTTTCTCCCACATACAGATTTGTGCAACCACCGCCCCAATCAAGACACAGAACCATCCATCGCCATAAAGGAATTCCCTCTATCCCACCTGCAACCACTAACCTGTGCTCCACTGCTACAATTTTGTGATTTCCAGTACAGCTTTATCAATCAGGTGAGTTTTTGTACTTTTCCAAGTCCTCCACACAAGGTCAAATATTGTACTTAGAATCATAAAAATATTTTAAAGGAAAAAACCCCAGCCCATGACCTCTTTGCTGACAAATGGAGGAGCCGTTTCCACCTCTGTGATCGCCGTGCCTGATGGTCTGTCTGCCGCGGGGGCCTCAGACTCCAGGTTTACCACCCCAGTTGTCACATGCATGGCTCTGGAGCCCCTCGGGATTGGCCACACATGCTTCAAATCCTGAGTCCTCAGCTGGGCTTTGGGCATGGTGTCCCTGAGCCCCGTCACTTGCCGTCAAAACACAACAGGCTCCAAAGCAGGGCTTGGGCAAGGGGGTGAGGGGCAGCGCTGCAGGGCAGGGTGACCGTCCAGCCCTGGGCTGTGGGGTCTCAGGCAGCGGCTGGAGTCAGTGCATGGGGCGGTGGGGGGTGGGCTGTGTGTGGCTGGACACAGGGAAGGGGACAGGTTGGGAGGAGAGGTGGACAGATCTGGAAGAGGGGAGGCGTCTACTAGGTGGCCACACCTGGAGGCAGCTGGGCAGGGGCTTTAGGACCCTTCCCCTCCATCCTTCCCACCCCCAGCCCATCCAGCACACACACCTCCTTTGATACTGTCAACTGGCATTTCCTAAATGAGTTCTAATGTGCTGTGCAAACGCAGCTTCGAGCCCCTCTTCCTTCAACCGCCTCATCTCCGCAGGGTCCCCTCTGACCTCTGTCTCTCTCCACCACCCCTCGCACCCAGGGGCAACCCAGTGCTCAGGAGGAAACGTGGGATGTGAAGGCGTTTTTAACCCAACAAAATGCCAGTCGAGTAGAGGGACTACTGGCCAAAGCTTGGAAGCCACCTCCAGTGTCCCCTGTTCTCCAGGAAGACCCCTCCTCCGTCTCGCCGTTCCATGGGGGCCCGTGTCTAGTGGGCCTGGCCTGCAGCGCCCCCCCTTGTGGACTCGAGCTGTCGGGCGGGCCCGGCTCTTCCTCCGGTCCTGCCTCCTCACCCCGCACCCCCACCTGCAGCTTCAGGTGAATCTCCTCCGGCATCTCCTCCCCGTAGGTCTTGAGCAGCTCGATGGTTTGCTTCAAGGGCTCGAACATGTCGTCGGTGGCCGCTTGCCTCTCTTTGACCTTCATCAGGTGCCCCATCACCTCCACGAGGCCATCATAGTCCCCCTCCTTGAGGGGCTTTTTTAAGCCCGTCGTGGCGACTTTCATGAAGGCCTCCAGGTCAGCCAGGCTGGGGAACGAGGGAACCGTGTGTGACAACCTGCTTCTCCCAGGGGGCCACCCTCGGCGGGAGAGGGGGAGGACGGTCAGAGGGGATGGACAGCACGGGGCGCCCCGCCTGGGAGGGAGGGCTCCTGTCCACCTCCGGACACCTCCCCCATGCTGACGCCCTGCCTGGATGGTGCCCCATGCCTCCCCAGCTTGGCTCAAATGGATCCGCAAGTACCAGCTTAAGGCTGCATCTCAGAGGGGCCTCTGCTGGCCTCCCAGGTGGAACTTGCCAGGTGGCACTCTCTCTCCTGGGACTGTGCCCAACCCTGGCCACTGCCTGTGATCCTTTGGTTACTGGACTGTTGAGTGACAGCCTTCCCTGCTAGGCTGCATGCACCTAGAGCTTTCCTTGGCATCTGTGCCCGGGTTTAGTGAGTAGGGGCTTGGACGAAGGGACAGAGCATTCGCTCATAGCCAGGGGACCCCTTTCTTCGGGGACGAGGCCTTGGGGGTGGCTCTCCTTGAAGCCCGACCGTCAGCCCCACACCTGCCCCATGGTGGTGGTGGGGGCATTCACGGAAGCCCCCTGTGCGTTTCTCGGGCTCTCCTGGGTTGTGGTCAGCCTGGGGGGTTGGGTGGGTGTGGCGGGGCCCACCTATCGATGACGTGGTTGCTCAGGTGCCTCTTGAACATGAAGCTCCAGCGCTTGATGGTGTTGAGCAGGGCCTGCTTGAAGGGACGGCAGTCACACTGCAGCCAGCCGTGGAACACCTTGGTGTTCTCACACTTGGACACTTCCTCGTACAGCTTCTCGTAGGAGTCGATCTGGAAAACACGGCCCCCAGCATCCCGTCCAGGCCTCTGAGCCTGCAGGGGCATCGGTGTGTGGCCTGGGGCCAGGTGCCTGCATGTCCCCACTGGCCTGCCTGCCTGTCCGGCTGCTGTGGGCAGGTGTCTGGCCCAGCGCTGGGCATGTGGGAGGCCTTTATTACAAGTTGTTTTTCCTTCTCCCAACACCCCCAGGGTTCCATCTAGCCCCAGCAGTCCATCTCCAGAACAGGATAATCCGTCCAAAAGGGACGGAATCAGGGAACGCCAGCAGGACTGTGTCACAGAATAGACAAGAGCCCCAAGAGGTGAACGTGATCACAGGCTCCCAAAGGGCATCCCTTAATTTCAGGCTGCTTTACACCCTCGGGGCTCGCCAACTCCACTAGCCCTCCCCACCTTGGGTGGCAAAATGTATCCCCCTGGGGGTGGGTCACTCGCAGGGGCCCTCTTTCTCACCACACATTGGGAACAGAGTTGGAGGTTCATACATTAACCATATTTTCTTTTTTTTTTTTTTTTTTTTCCTTTTTGAGACCGGCCGCACCGTGCTCAGCCGGTGAGCGCTGTGAGCGCACCGGTCAACCCTATATAGGATCCGAACCCGCGGCGGGAGCGCTGCTGTGCTCCCAGCGCCACACTCTCCCGAGTGCTCCAGGGGCTCGGCCCTATTTTCTGTATTCTTGATGCTCTGACATCTGGAACCTTGCTGACTCTGGAGGGACGGCCCCTCCCAGGGCTAGCTGATTCCCAGAGATAGCAAACAACTCGCCTGGGAGCACGCTTTTCATATGAAACGAGCCAACCCAGAACCTCCACCTCCAACCACCCCTTTATGGAGCACTGGCAGGGTCTTACATGCTAGGTCAATAGTCCTTGCCCTAATCACCCCAGGGCCAAGTAACCGACAGCCCAGGACAGCTCCTATAGTGCAGAGCCTGCCGAGATTACTCACGCTAGCCATCCCTAAGCTGGCTTACTCTGCCTGTTCCTTCTGGTGGAAGCCACAAGAAAGGCTCTTGCCCGCACTTCTCCCTGGCTCCTTCTGCCTTCTGACCGTCCCTGGTGCTCGCCTGTGTGGCCCTGCATGGCATGGCATGTCCCCTGCTCTCAGGAACTGTGAGTAACAAACTGTCTTTTCAATGGCAATCGCCTCTTGATCTGTTAGCCTCACCAGACCTGAATAACAATAAAGCCTACAACTCAAAACAATTCAACCAAGTTTTAAATCAAGCCAGGTGACCCTCTTGCTGGAGGATTCTGGAGACAAGGAGACTGGCGGGTGAGGTTTGCACGTACCTGCTGCTGGAACTGAGCAAGGGTGGGTGGTGTCTTGGGGGCAGTCTCATCGATCTGGGCATCCAGTTCCTCTGGGGTGACTGCATGCCCAAATATCAGGAAATTCCTCATGAACTCCTGGAGGTCATCCATCCAGAGGTAGGAGTACCTCTCAAAGGAGTCCTGATATTCCTCGGCCTCCTTCATGGCATTAATGACCAGGTTGGACACCTCCTCCCTCATCTCTATGAGGTCTGTGATGTCTTCCAGGTCCGTCTGAAGGGGCAGGGGAGAGGCAACAGGTGAGACATCTTACCTGCCTGAATGATTTAAATTTGTTCTCCCTGCCTTGGAAAGTAGCTCTTTTTTGGTGAAAATGTTGCTAAGCTCTAAGATGGAAAACAGGGAAATTTGCCGATTGGTGATATTCTCTGTTGAGAAGATATTCTGAATGTAAACTTCGTCTGGAGGACTCTGAGATGACGCGCCCTTGGATTCATTCATTCAATAGCTGCTCAGCCCTTGCTGGCTGTCACATGCTGGGGTGGACACCAGGGACATAGTCAGGGCTCACACGGAGCTTATGGTCCGGGGTGGGAGTCAGACATTCATCAAAGAATTGCAGACACAAAACATCATGGCTCTGACCCTTGCCATAAGGTGTAAAGGGAGGAGGTCAGGGAATGCCCTGAGAAAATGACCATTGGTCTGAGAGCCCGTGGATGGGTCGACAAAGAGCAAGAAAAGCGGCTTTCAGGGCAATGGCAAAGCACGTGTCATGGTCCTGTGGCGGGAGGAAACAGTGTTTGGGGTAACTGAAAGAAGAAGGCTACCATGGTGCGCAGCAGAGAGCACAGAGGCCTGCCGCGCAGGACCTTTTTAGTTGCAAGTGACAGAAAACTCAAGCCAACTGGTGTAAGCAGAGAGAGAGCCCATTGGCTCACGTGACTGGAGAACGCCAAGGTGGGGTGTGTGTGTGTGTGTGTGTGTGTGTGTGTGTGTTAATCATGTTTTATTTTCTGTATCTTATGATGTTTTGACATTTTAAAACACCTCGCTGGCTGCGGAGAGATGGCCCCTCCCAGGGGCAGCCAATTCCTAGAGACAGCAAAAGACTGAGCTGGGAACGTATTTTTCACACGCAAATCAACTAATCCTGAGTCCGCACCCTCCAACCCCTCCCTGAATCTAACTCTCATACACCAGGCCAACCCTTCACCTGCCACGTCACCCAGGGCCAGCTAGAGACCACCTCGCTAGCCCAGAGCCCACCGACATGACTCAAACTGGCCCGTCCCGAACTGTTCCCTCTGCCTTGCCCTGTGCACGGGAACCCCAATAAAGGCTCTGGTCTCAGCTGTCCCCTCTCTCCTGTCTGCTTCCTGGCCAACCCCGGTGCTTCCCCTGCAGCCCTGTAGGGAGGGTGTGCCTCTTGTTTCTAGGGGGACCTAGACCTTTCCATGTTGTCACTTAGTCACCTCCACACATTAAAATCTCCCAGTAGAAATGAGACGGGGTGGGGGCAGCCTGGCTTAGGGTGGATCACCAGGACCCTCATTCTGCTCTGCTCTGTCTCCCTCTGAGTGGGGTTCTGGGATGAGTGCAGGGGCTCCAGAATGCGCCTCCTGCCAGATTCAGGAGCACACGTCTTGGGTCCAGCTCTTGTTGGCCTGAGTGGGGTCCATGTGTGTACCTGAGCCCATCAGTTCAGATCGGCTCGGACCAGTCAGAGCTCCCTCCTGGAGCCAGGGTGGAGTCAACGCCCCCCAAGCCACATGTGCTTTATCAGGAGAAGAGATCACGATGTAAGAGGAAGCCAGAGAGGAAGGTGGGACCGGATGACCCGGGGTCTCACAGGCCACAAGAGTGCTGGGATGTCCCCAAGGTAGCTAACACGATGGGAACTGCATTTGTAAAAGATCCCCCTTGCTGACAAAGGTGGAATGTACGGTGGAGGCAGGAGTTATACCCCACGTACCACGCTCCCTTCCTGCTGCTGAGAACCCAGGCTGGGTGGCTGGGGGTGCAGAGATCTTGACGGGGCAGAACTAGACAGGAGGGAACCGTGGCAGGTTTCCCCGATGGAGGGTGGGGAAGGCGAGGGAAGGGTGAAGGTTCACTTCTAAACATCCAGCCAGGGTAGTTGTGCCACCCACCGAGGGAGGGGCTGGGGGGGGAGGACTCCAAGTGTGCAGGACAAGCGTGCGCATTGCTTGGGACATGTGGAACTTGAAGGAGGTTGTTGAAGACACGGGCCAGAAGCCCTGAAGAGAGGACAGGGTCAGTGACAGAAATCTGGAAAATGGGTGGTAGTTGGGGTTGTGGACAGGAGGAGACCACCTGCAGGAACAGCAGAGTGACAAGAGAACAGGGTGGCCAGGACGCGAGGATGACCAGGAAATGCAGCTGGTCCTGGACGGCAGGCGTGTCATCATGTCACAGCTGCAGGGAGGTCCCATGGGCAGGCATGGGGGTGCCTGGGGATCCTGTCTGCACAGGTAAGGGGTGAAAAGGGGACTGGAGTAGTTGAGGAGTGGGAGAAAAGGAGGGGGTGGGGGCCGTACTGTTGAAAGTCTGGGAGGAGAAGGCAGTTGGGCTGGGAGGGGTGGGGGCGGCTCCCGGAGCTGGCGGGGCGTTCGCAGGCACGCTCTGGACCTTCCAGAAAGCAGCCACGTGGCAAGGAAGCCTGAAGCTCCCGTGTCTCAGGCGGGAAGTGTACTCTTGGGATTTCAAGCAAACGTAGGCGCTGCTGAATTTAAATGTGGTCAATGCTAGGAGTCAACTCACTCATCCGAGATTTTCTCCTGCCTTCCTTTCCATTTCCCCCAGGCGGGATCTAAGCTCAGGGGGGGCTGGGCTGGCGCAGCGGCGTGGCATGCTGGGGGTGGCCAGGACCGGCTCCTGGGGGCCTCTCCCTCCCTGCTGGTCTCCCCTGTGGGGCAGCCCAGTTCTCTAGATCCCTGTGGTTTTAGACAAGAGCATAGGTCTTGCCATGGCCTCTGCTCTGAGCTCCCCACACTCTGACCCTCCCTTGTCCCCACCCCAGCTCCTCTGAGTTTGCCACCCTGGTGCCCCATTGGAAACACCCCTCGGATACTCTCTGCCACTAAGCTGGGGTGCTTGGGTCTCTGGTGCCTGACCCTGGCACTGCATCAGATTTGTGGTGTCTCTGCTGCTAGGCTGGCAGGCTTTTGAGGAACCCTTGGCACCAGCCAATGTGCCCGAGTGTCCCCAAGGTGTCTGTGAGACAGCCTATGTGTGTGTGTGTGCTGTAAGAGCCCAGGGGGTGGACAGCTCTGTCTGCAGTGACTGTTGGGTGTCTCCAAGTAGGCTGTTTTGGGGACACTCCAGTGGGCATGGACGGCAGTCCCCAGGACACCCCGATGCTGAGGGCACTTGCTAATGCGATGTCTGCGTAACTGGCGGCAGACTACTCTGAACTCTGGAGCAGCAGCTTGCTGTGTGCACTGGGGACAAGCAGGTCACCTTTTTGTGTCTCAGAAATCCCAAGCCATTTTCTGCCTGACCCCACCGGTCTGGAAAACCCCTCTCACCCTTCGAGAGTCAGCTCACGTGGTGGCTCCTCTAGGAAGCCACCCTTGACCTTCCTGCGTGGTTAGCTCTTTCCTCTGCGTCCTCACCTCTCCTCACTACATGCACACACGTGCGAATAGGCACACGTGCACGTGCAGACACACACACGAACACACGTGCGTACGTCCCTCCTCCTAACGGTACAGAGCATCTCCCCGTAAATATTTGTTACTACGAATAATACATGCCCCGTATTAAAATTCAAACAATGAGGGACACATGAAACGAAAAGCCCCCACCTGCACCCCGTCCTCCCTCCCTCCTTCCCTCCTCCTTACCTACCTCCCGGTTGCCAGAAGCAAGCACTCAACAGTTTGTAGTGTACCCATAAAAAGACAGGTTTTGTTTGTTTAAACAAGTGAACTCATATTCCAGACACTGTTCTACAACAAGTCACGACATCGTTCCAGCCCTGGCTCCCAGACTTTGTATGAATGGCACAGAATCTATGGAACGCCTCCCGTCCTCTTTTCTGACTCTCATTTTACTGTTATACAAACAAATCCTCCGACCAACGCAGCTCCTCGAACATTCCTTCGGGAGGCAGCTGGATTTCCCTGGCTTTTGCACCCCCAGAATCTGACCTGACCCTTTGTGTCACTTGGCAGGTGTCTGATGCGTTTAGGGGACATGGATGCTAAAGACAGGGGAGGACACATTTGTCCAGACTCCTGAATGCTCAGAGAATCCCAGTGTTTCAATGATACAGCTGAGTGAACTGTCAGGAAGAGGGGAGGATGGCACTTGGCATCTTGTTGGGGGGCGGGGGGAACACTGGGGGGATGGGACCCAGGTAGGCCGACCAAGGAGGAGCTACTTTGGGGAGGAGGATGGATTCGGGAGAGGGGAGAGAGAAATTGGGTCTGTAGTCCCGAGGAAGCTGAGAGCACAGAAACCCGCGAGCTGCTCCCCACAGCCCGAGCTAGCGTCATTTCACACGTGCATAACCAGCACTGGGGAGTTAGGAAGGCAACCCCAAAGCCGGAAAGCAATTAATGCCCAAGCGGGGAAACTGGGTAAGGCCGCATCAAGCCGAGACTGACCTTGTAGCTCACTCGGCCCTTGGCCAGTCTGGGGATGAACCTGGCCACATTGTAGATGTCGTTGACCAGGCTCTCGATCAGCGCCAGGAAGCCAGCCTCTGAGCCCATCTCCAGGGATGGATTGAAGACCAGCCCATCCTCGTCCAGCTCCATGCGGACCTCAAACAGGGGCGCGACGCTCTCCTGAAACAGGCATCATGGGTCAGTACATCTGCCCCCTCCCCAAGACGATTCTCAATGCCCAGTTGTCCACTCCGGACACCATCCAGGGTGTGGCTACCTCCTGCTGGCCTGGACCGCGTCAGACAGCACATGTCCTGAGGGACCACACTTGAGCCATCAATATGGAACCAGGTGCACAACCCTGAGGCTGACAGCAGGCTGGGACCAGCTGTGTGGCCTTGGACATGTCACTTAACTCCTTGCTTCCCTCAATATATAAAGTGAGGACAGTCATTTTATATAAGTGAGATATTCATTGTCCCCCTCTCTGGGTTGTTGTGAGGATGGTGAACATTGTCAGAATAAAAATGGAGTCACTTGTGTTAAACACACACACACACACACACACACATGGAGCCAGGGAAGGACATGGAGGGAGGGTTTTCGTGCACATGTGTCTGATCACAAGAACTATCACAAAAGACTGCAAAACCACAACCTGGCAGAAGGCCGCCACGATCTTACACAAAAAATACTTGTGCCTGGACATCTGCCACCCTTGGGCTGTCCACCCTTGGGCTGGTGCCACTCTTGTTATCGATCCTTGTGGCCAAGGATTATTATCCTAAACAGCTACGTGATCCCCCTCACTTCTCCTTCAAAACGCTTTGTCTTCCATCACCTCCCTGAATACGCACATGGTGTGCTATGGCATGTGTATTCCCATTGCGATGCCCTATTCCTGAATAAACATGACTTTTTTTTTAGAGAGCCCTTCTCTGTGTGTTATTTAAGTCGATGGGACTAAATGAATTAGTAACATACAAAGCATGTACAACAGTGGCTGGACATGCCTCACGTCCCTCGGGAGATCCCATTTGCAAAGGACACGCACGGCTGCAGCCCAGCTCAGTCTGATCTCGGAGGCTCCTGCAGGGCGGCACGTCTGCCCCGTTTGTAAAGTGATGGATCAAGGTTAACCCTAGTGCTTCTCCCGTCGCATCAGGCCCACAGGTGGCCACGAGATCCACACCATGGCCGCTGACCTTCCCCCAACACAAGTTCTCCTCGGACCTTGGGCGATGAGGCTGCGGGCCCATCCATTGCTCCATGACCACAGAGCGCTGTTTGCTAGTGTCTGAGTGAGGTGCTCATTGGTGTGAATGGTCGGTGTCATGAACTCAGATGCCCAGGCTTTTCTAGAGACTAACTCAGAGGTCTGCTCCAGCCACCGGGCCACCTGCAGATGGGAGGACACTGCTATGGGGACATCACCACGGTACCTCCTCGGTTTGCAGACACTTTGCATCGCTGGCAGATGCTTGGTGAACCTCGCAGGTGGCAATGACAACTACTTCCATCAACAGCACTTTGGATCTGTGACTGGTGACCAGCCAGCCTTGGAGACACATGTGTGGGGTCCAGACACAGTTCATCCACCCCCCAAGGCTAGTACCAGGGTCTCACGGCCATGTTCCTTTTCTTTTGGGGGGTTGGGGGAACTGGGGTTCTTTGATCTACTGGCAGAATTGAAAATAATTTGGAAACTATTGTAAGGAAAAAGAGGCGGGTAGGGAAGGGGGTGATCCCATGGAGAACGCTGGAGAACACGTCTCGATGGACTTGACCAGCGCGACCTCTTTGCTGGTCTGGTCCTACGCTTCCACTCAGCCGGACAGAGGGTTGAGAGGCTAGTGGCTGATGTTGGTGACAGGGGGCACCCCCCTCCAGTCGACCGTCTCGATGGACTTGACCAGCGCGACCTCTTTGCTGGTCTGGTCCTACGCTTCCACTCAGCCAGACAGAGGGTTGAGAGGCTAGTGGCTGATGTTGGTGACAGGGGGCACCCCCCTCCAGTCGACATGAGTGGGGTCAGTGGTGCCTGCTTTCCCTCACCTGGCAGTAAGATGGGGCAAATCTCTTAGATTCATTTAGATATTCTACAGCTGACTTATGTTATGGCAGATTTAAGGTGACCAGCTTGTCCCACATGTCCAGAGCTGATGGAGTTGCTGGCGTACAGGATTTTCGGTTTTAAGACCAACACACCTTGGTCACCCTACACAGACTTTAATTAGTCTGTTTATTTATAAAATGATACCCTGTTTTTTTTTAATCAGGAAACTGCAAACTATAGACTCCAACATTGACCTTACCTTATATTTATAAGAATTTATATACATCTTTATAAAATACCTTATATTTATAACTTACATCTATAACCATGTTGTCTATGAGGTAACTCAAAGATTTGTGAATAAAATGGTCAAATTCCTCCAAGACCATGTTGTCAACGTAGTGGACATAATCCTTCCAGGACGGGCTCGATGTGTCTGCTCTGAACAGCTCTGCATTTTCCTACAAATGGAAGCACACAGCGGGCTGGGTCATTGTTCACTCCTGAATCAATCTATTCGACGGCTTTGGACTACCTGCATCCTTATTCGTACTCCCTGGACACGGGTCTGCTTTCAGCTTCTCGGATGTGCTGAGGTCTTTCCCATGACAGTCTTTGCACAGGCTGCTCCCTCCCGTTCTTGCCAGGTCTGGCATATTCTAATGTTTTAGGTCCTTCCTCAAACGTTGCCTGAAAAGCTCTGAATTGCTTCATTTAACTGTCTGTGGTCTGTGTCTCCCTTGGATGCCCAGCTTCATGAGGTTAACTCCTCATGAAGTTTTGCACCACTGTACCTGCAGCACTCAGCAGTATGCCTCGGACAGAGTAGGAACTCATAGATGGATGAATGGATGGACTGATGGATGGATAGATGGATGAATGGATGGATTGATGAATGGATGGATGGATGGATGGATGGATAGATAGATGGATGGGTGGGTGGATGGAGGGGTTGGTGGGTAGGTGGGAGAGTGAGTGGATGATGGACGAAGGGACAGATGGCTGGGTGGATGGATAGATGGATGGATGGATGGATGGACTGGTGGATAGGTGGGTGAGTGGGTGGATGATGGACGAATGGACAGATGGCTGGGTGGATGGATGGATAGATGGATGAATGGATGGATAGATGGATGGATGGATGGATGGATGGATGGATGGATGGATGGATGGGTGGA